TTGAAAAATAAATGCATCCTTTTTTTTTCAAACCTCACCCAAAGATATTTTTTCATTAATTTTTTTTTTTAGAGAGAGAGTGGAAGAGAGAGGGAAGAGAGAGAAATATTAATGTAAGAGAAACACATCGATTGGTTGCCTCCTACACACGCCCTGACCAGAGCCTGGGCAGGGAAGGAGCCTACAACCAAGGTATGTGCCCTTGACCGACTCATTTGACTCACCCTCTGTTTCTACAGGCTGACACTCTATCCACTGAGCAAAACTGGCTAGGGCAAAACTATCCCTGTTCTTATCTTTCTCTCTCTGCTTCCATCCCCTTCTCTGACCAGCACCTCTGACTCTGTCTCAGCTCTGTCCCCACATATCCTGTCCATGCCAGTCTCTGATTTGGGGCCTGCAGGTTTTTTTCACCACCTTCCCACATTCTCCTCCAGTGAGAAGAGTGAGTAGGTGGAGAGAAGTGTGGCTGTGAGGAAGAGTAGACCTCCCAGACCCGTGGACCAGGAACGCAGGCTGGAAGCCCCTTTAGTGGGAGTGGCTGGAGGGAGTGATTTGTCAGTTGCACCTTGTCAGGTGGCTCCTGGAAGAGGCAGGGCCTTGGGTGAACAGAAGACCTCTACACTGTCCCGTTTGCCCTACGTTCTGTTTTCAGGAGGATACTCGGGCTCAGCGGCAGCGGCTGCAGAAGCACCTGGCTGAACATCTGCGTCAGACCTGGGGCCAGCTGGGGCCATCCCCACAAGCCCGAGACTTGGGAGAGCTGCTGCAGGCCTGGGGTGCTGGGACCAAGACTGGTGCTCCCAAGGGCTCCCGCTTCACACATTCAGAGAAGTTCACCTTCCATCTGGTGGGTGGGCCTGAGTGGACAGTGGGCCTGCGGATGGGGCCAAGACTGGCTTGGATAGTTGCTTTATGTACAAACACCATACCTTATCCACACAGGTTCCTGTGTTCCCACCAGGTGTGGCCTCTCCGAACTACAGGCTAGCACTGAGGAGTCCAGTGGAGAAAGGGTGGAGGGGTGGGAACTATATAAGGATGGAAGTTCATTGTGCAAACTCCAGGCTTCCCCAGGAAGTTTCCTCTGGGAACTCCTTGGATGGTCACCCAGAGGGGCACTCATCCTTCTCATGGGCAGTTGGGGCTTCAGAGATAGGACAGGTGAGCAGGAGCTGTCAGGATCAGGGAGGTTTCTTTGTGAGCAAACACTCTAGTCTGAGTTCGCAGAGAATGCCTTGATCCTCACATGGTCACAGTCTGATAGTCATCAGCTGTTGAGTGGACATGGGTATGACTATCGGTCATCAGCTGTTTAATGGGCCGGGAAGGTGCTCGTGGGGGTTGTTGAGGCTGGGCTGTGAGGGGCAAGGCCTTCCTTGACAGCGAGATGCTCCCTTCTCACTCCCCCAGGAACCTGAGGCCCAGGCAGCCCAGGTGTCAGAGGTGCTGTCTGCCTCCCGGTGGCCTGAACAGGTGAGCAGAGCAATGAGGTGTGTCCTGGCCCATTGCCTGTCTACTGGGCCCGACACCCTGACCCTGACTGGCCTGTTCCTCCCAGGACACGTGGGCAGCTCAAGAGCAGGAGCTGGAAGCCCTTAAGGAGCAGCTAGAGGGAGTGAATCGTAACATTGAAGAGATTGGAGCCAGCATGAAGACGCTGGGAATCGGCCTTGTGCAGGTGCGGGTGGGGCTGCTGTCTGGGGTCCAGTCGCAAGTCTGGGCTAGAGAGCTAGGGTGGGGGAGAGGGGCTTGAGGGGGATGAGAGGTACTCTGTAGAGGTCTGTAGGTATCAGAAGGATTTATAGGGGATGTGTGGTCTCTTGAGGGTTCAGGAGAATCGAGGGGGATGCATGATTCAGGGCTTGGTGGACCTGTAGGGGTGAGAGTGCCTGTGAGCATTCATCAGGCCTTGCGAGTGTCTGAGAATCAGGAGATGTGTGGGCATCTCTGGGCATCTGTGGGGCATAATGGGTCTGTACGGGCAGGAGGTTTTGGGACTTGTCAGGGCTTCTGCGGGTCAGCGTGGAGGTGGAGGAGTCACAGGGGCCTGTGGGTGCCCATTTCTGTGTATAGGTCTCTGTCGCTCTCAGGGGACACGGGATCCGTAGGGGCTGGAGGGGTGTCATTATCTATGGGGGCTCGGACTGGGCCAGGGCTTCCCAGGCTCAGTGTGGGCTGGGAGCCTGTGGTGTGTGTTCGAACTCCCCCACTGACTGGGACTGGGAGTCCTGGGCTACCAGGTGGAGACCGAGTGTCGGCAGACTGAGCTCAGCATGGCCGAGAGGGAGCAGGCCCTGCGCCTGAAGAGCCGGGCGGTGGAGCTGCTGCCAGATGGGGCTGCCAACCTTGCCAAGCTGCAGGTGGGGCTGGGGCTGGGGTTGGGCTGGGGCTGGGCCAGGAGGGTCAGAGGTGGAAGTGCCCAGACTGTGTGATATCTACCCTCCTACCACCATTCCCAGCTCGTGGTAGAGAGTAGTGCCCAGAGGGTCATCCATTTGGCGGGCCAGTGGGAAAAGCACCGGGTCCCGCTCCTTGCTGAGTACCGCCACCTCCGAAAGCTCCAGGATTGCAGAGAGGTAGGTGGTGGGGTCCTGGGCTGTAGGTGGGATAGGTTTGGTATTTTCCTAGGAGGCCATCCCCATGCTCTGCTTACTGCCCTCTACCTGTGGGGTCTTGACAGCTGGAATCTTCTCGACGGCTGGCAGAGATCCAGGAGCTGCACCAGAGTGTTCGGGCAGCTGCTGAGGAGGCTCGCAGGAAGGAAGAGGTCTATAAGCAGCTGGTAAGGCCTGTTCCGGAGCCTTGAGGGGGCTCAGAGTGGGTGGGGGTGGGTCCTGGGGAGTGCCTGCTGTGTCTCTGCCTAGGTGTCCGAGCTGGAGACCCTGCCCAGAGACGTGTCCCGGCTGGCCTATACCCAGCGCATCCTGGAGATTGTGGGCAATATCCGGAAGCAAAAGGAAGAGATCACTAAGGTGCGCTGCCATGGCCATGGAGGGTGGGTCCTATGGGCAGACATGCCCAAAGGGCAAATGTGTGTTGTGTGGCTGCACAGGGATTCCACACCCTCTGATAGGCAGAGCCACACCATGACCCAAAGCAGTCCCACCCAGTACACTACAGTTCCCACTGACACAGTGACACAGGCCCTGTCTGGATGTGAGCTCATGTGCAGGAAAGCCTTTAGCTGGTCAGCTGCCCACCCCAGACATAGGCTCACGGCCCTGGTCTCTGCCAGATCTTGTCTGATACAAAGGAGCTTCAGAAGGAAATCAACTCCCTGTCTGGGAAGCTGGACCGGACGTTTGCGGTGACTGATGAGCTTGTGTTCAAGGTGTGGGGCAGGTGGGGAGTGCTCATGGGCTGCCTTGGGCCTAGGCCCTATGTGAGCCTTGCAGGTACACTGATGCTCAGGCCTGGCTTTGCTCCATGGAGGATGTAGTCATGGGGGTGGGAGAGGGTGGCCTTGTGGGGTCCTGGAGGTGGTGTGTAGGGGGGCAGCCCACTGATACCTTTGAGGTCCTTTCTGTCTGCTCAGGATGCCAAGAAGGATGATGCTGTTCGGAAGGCCTACAAGTATCTAGCTGCCCTGCATGAGGTGAGTGGAGAAGCATGCCTTGGGCTGGCTGGGGAGGGGCCAGGTTGGGGGTGCAAGCCTTGTCTTCCTGCTGTTCTCAGAACTGCAGCCAGCTCATCCAGACCATTGAGGACACAGGCACCATCATGCGTGAGGTTCGAGACCTCGAGGAGCAGGTGAGGCCTGGGGGTGGGAGGGGAAACCAAGGCAGGCCAGGGGACAGCTCAGTTTGTCCCATGACAGGCTATGGAAGCAGACACAGCTATGGCTGGAGTCTCTGCCCTGCCCCTAAGCCATGCACTTGACCTGGAAAAGGTCAGTGGCCTGCTCTGAGCTCCAGCTTCCACCCCAAAGGCTCCCATGCCTGCCTCCCAGGGGCATTGGCAGAGGCTTCAGCTTGAGTATGTATGTGGTGGGTAATCCTACCATGTAGGGATGACACACAAAAAGGCCTGGCAGTGGGACAGAGAAGACTTTGTTAGGGGTGGGAGGAGCCCAGGAAGGGCCCCAAGTGGCTATGATGGAGGGGTGGCAAGCAGGAGCTGGGAAAGAGGGCCTTCTTGCTGAAGGGACATCACTCATGTTGCCTAGATCGAGACGGAGATGGGCAAGAAGACCCTCAGCAACCTGGAGAAGATCCAAGAAGACTATCGGGCCCTTCGCCAGGAGAATGCTGGCCTCCTGGGGCGGGTCCGTGAGACCTGAGGGGCCGCAGGCAGAGATCTCCCTCACCCCAGGCTTCAGCAGGGATTTGGGGTGTTGGAAATGATGGACAGGCGCTTGCCCTAGATGTTCCCTGTGTTTGCTGTCCAGTCCCTCCTGCTGTGGTGACACCTGCCCACCTGCCCCCAACCCTTATTTGGGGTGAACATCCAGACACTGGGAGCTTGGCTGCACTTTATTGGGGACAGTACTGGGGGTTGGGGCCTTCGATCCCAAATAAATGAGGGGCTCTGTCTGCAGTGTAAGCTGAGGCATGGATGGGGGCACAGGGCTCAGGGCGGGGCAGGGCGTGGGTGGCAGGTGAGACCCAGGGCACGTTTTGGCGAGTCAGTGTATGTGACCATGTGTGTCGTGTGGGACTCGAGACCCACTGGGGCGCTGTGTGGGTGTGCGTGGTGTGCAGATGAGTTCTAATGGACTGTGTGACCAAGTATAAGTGGTAGGAGCTGCGTAAGACTGTGTGTGACTGGTATGTGTCTATGTGGCTTTCTAGGACCTGAGACCCTGAAGGCACTAAGGCTGCTTCTGTGTGGGTGTGTAGGCATCCCCCCTGTGATGCACCTAGGGGCCTGGAGGCTGGCTGTGGGAGTGTGCTTCGGGGTATGTGGGTTGACAGGCGTACTCAGGTGTGATTGTGTGACTGTGCAGATTTGAGGTTGTGTGAGTGTACTGAGACAGGCTCTTTGTTTGGGGGTTTGTATGAAGTCCAAGGATTGGACAGGATTGTGACTTTTTCCAGTCCTAGGTTGCCTGTGAGTGCCCAAGGCAGGCTGTGTGTGAGGGCAATTGTGAAGGCTCAGTTTGCCTGGAGAGCCTGTCATGGGGGGCTATGATGGGAGTGCGGGGTTGAGGTCCCTCTGAGCAGCCTTGGTGCAGAGCATATGATCCAGGAGGGGTAGTCAGTTTGGTAATAGGGTCCCTGGCAGGCAAGACAGTACATGCACTTCTTGGTCGCTGTGAGTATGTCCGGGCCTGTCACCCCCACCCCCAGCCACTTTAGCCCCACATGTTGGCCCCTGTCCTTCCTTCCTTTCCTTGGCTTTGCAGTCAGGGGCCAGCTAGGGGGTTGGAACACCTGCTGGGCCTCTGGCTCCTCTTCTTGCGGAATTCAAACTCATCCACGGTCCACACAGCCCCCTTTTCACTCTCCACCCGCACGAAGCACTTGTGCAGGCTCAGGTTGTGGCGGATGGCATTCTGTGGAAGGAGGAGCAGCCAGTCAGGCCAGGGTGGAGGCAGCGGGTGGGCCGTCATCCTCTGATGTCAGCAATCTCTACTAAAAACCAGCCTCCTGCCCCTTCCCATCATGTTTGCAAGCCCAGCCCCAGGCTTGGCCCAGTACTGGTAGCATTTGAGACCATCCTGGCCCTGCCACCTCCAGAGGTACTCACCTTCCAGGTGGCAGGGTGGTTTCTGAAGAAGGCGAACATGCGTGTGAACCAGTGATAGATCTCATTGAGTGTCCGCTGCTTCTCAGGAGCCTCCAGGATGGCCTGGAATTCAGGGGTGTGGGGGTAAGGGCATGTGCTCCCCCAAAGTTGGGCTGAGAGGGGCATCTGACATGGGGTGGAAATGGGGCAGGAGAAGGGAGGGAGGGCAATGGTGTGGAGGTGATGGATCAGAGACAGGGTTAGAAGTGGGGTGAGAATGGGCCGGGATGGGGTTAGGTAAAGGATCAGGGCTGAGTTTAGAGCAGAGTTCAGCTCAGGGTTAGGGCTGGAATTAGGTTAAAGGTCTGGGATGGGGTTGGAGTGGGGGTTCTCTATAGGGGTGAGGTTTCAAGGTTTGGGAAGAGTAAGGGCTAGGGGTAGGGTCAAGTTAAGGGCTTGGAAGATGTAAAGGGCCAGGCAGAGTTAAAGGTCAGGGAAGGGGTTGGTTAGACTCAGGCTGGGGATGGACTATGACTATTCATGGGGCATATTACAGGATGCCAGGTGGCATTAGGTTAGGAGTCAGAGATGGGCCTAGTTACCTGGTTACCTATTTTATGGGTCAGGGATGTGGTTAGGCTCAGGATCAAGAATGAGGTTAGTTGTGGTGAAGTTCACCCGGAGAGGAAGCTTTGCAAGCAGATGTGCTTGTCCAACGATGTGTATCGTTGTTCAGGGACAGGGCTGGAGTTAGGTGTGGAGTGAGGCTAAGGGTCAGGGTATTTGATCTTTTTGGATGTAGGAATGGGATTAAGTTAAGGGGCAGTTATTACAGTTGCAATGATGTCCAGTGTCAGGATGGGGCCAGGTAGGAGACTGTGTGGCATTGTGTGGGGGTTAGGTTAAGGTTCAGGTTTGTCGTTAGGTATGAGCCTAAGTTGAAAGTCTGAGTGGGCTCTAGTGAAGGTTCTGGGAAGGCATTAGGGAGATTCAGATGAAGGGGTTTGGATGGGGTGAAGTTAAAGGTCAGATAGGTGTTAAAAGGAAGAGGTTAGGGATGGGGTCTAGCTGGGGGATGTGTTGACATACTGGGGCACATCAGGGATGGGAAGGAATTAGGGTAATACCTAGAAGGGGTTTAGGGCAAGGGGCAGAGATCTGATTAGCGTTCGGGTGATTTTACAGCTTTGGAAGGCGGATAGGTATGGGGTTGAGGTGGACATCAGGAACGGAGTGGGTTTAAGGCCAGCATTTGGCCTGCTTTGGCATGGGTGATGGTTTAGGTTTGGGGGTGGGGGCAGGTCTGAGGTGAAGCTGGCACGGGGAATCACATCCGAGGTGTAGTTTTTTTTTTCATGCAGGAGCCTTCCCTGGGGGTGCTCAGAGGGAGGCTGGAGTTTGGGAGGCAGGTCCCCACCCCATCTTTCTCTTCCTTCTTGGCCTGCACTGCCCTGCTTACCCAGCGGATGAGAGTGGCATAGGTGAACGGGGGCCGCATGTTATGGAACTTGAAGTAGTCCATGTTGTGGAAGAACTCTGTCCAAGGGGGGAGAGGAGTCAGGCCCCACCTAAACCTCCTCACTCCCTCTCCTACCCTCTGCTCTTCCCATGATCAGTTACTGTTTGCTGAGCACTGGATGTAACTTGTGTCACTTACTCTGTACCACTCCCACCAAAATGGGGTATAACCTCTCAGAGGTTTAAAAGAAGGGAAGTAACTTACACACCAAAAAGACGTAACTGGTAAGTGGTAGAACCAGGATGACACTCAAGAGCCCTGATCCCTGGTAAACCCACAGCCCAGGCGTTTTGGATAGTAGAGGATTGGTGAACTTGGACAAATCACCCCATTTTCCCTTGAAGGGGAGAGGGAGAGTCCCTGGAAATTACATAGGTGGTTCCCTCCCTTCTCTATGATGACCAAATGGAATAGCTGAAGCCCCAATGCCCAGGGGAGATAGGGCTAGACATCTGAGATCCTAATGGGAGCCTACAGGCCACGGACACCCGGAGAGGAAGCTTTGCAAGCAGATGTGCTTGTCCAAAGGCCAGGTGGTGGTGGTGGGGAAGAGCAGTATGGAGCCCCACTCCATTGCATGTCAGTCTGGGGGTCAGGGTTTCAGGGACACCATGCAGGGCACAGACTATTCTTACCTGGGATTGTACTATGTCCATGGCTGCCCCAGAGGTGCCTCCGCACAGCAAACAGGCCATTGGGGCCCTCCTGGGGGCCAGGCCAGGCCGGAAGGGTGGTGCCCGGGGTGCCAGCAGCTACAATGCAGCAGGAGCCCTTGTCAGATGACACCTGGGTGTGATGAGGGAGAGGCTGTTGACCTGGAGGCTGAAACTTTCCACTTGAATTTTAAATAAGTGAGTGTTTTTAAAACTAAGGGCGCCATGCCCAGGCCAGTGTGGCTCAGTTGGGTGAGTGTTGTCCCAAAAGGTCACCAGTTCAATTCCTGGTCAGGGCACATGTCCAGGTTTCTCTCTCATGTCTCTCTCTCCCTCTCTCTGATCAATTAAAAACACACACAGAACAAAACACTTAAAAGCCAGGGTGCTCTCTTCTCAACTCCAGTCTGATATGTATTTCCACAAAGCAGCATGAGCTGTGTTTATCAGACTGTGGTGTGGGCACTAGTGTGTGTGTAGCTCACCAATGCTGGGGGTCTTGAGCTGGGGTTGAATTGGGCTCCTCTATTACCCAAGTCACTTATGTCTGCCTGGCCTCAATTTCCCTCATCTGGGGGTTAGGGATGATAGCAGTGCCTACATTACAGTGGCATCATGAGGACTGAGTAAGTTCACACCAGCAAAGGGATCAGAAGTGATGCCTGTGACCCGTCACCCAGGGCCCACCTCATGGGCATGTGACCTGTACAGCCAGCCATACAGGGCCCTCCCTTTGTTTAATGCTCTGTGGCTGCCACCTTGAAATCCGAGGCCTGCATTTTAATTTTTTCCCTGGGCCCTGCAAGTTATACAGCCAGTCCTGCCAGTGACACACAGTCTGCATTCATTAAGTGTCTAGCTACTTGATGTGGCTTTGAAAACAAGTTTATGATATTTGAAGAGCTTAGGGTCAGAGGGGTTGTAAGTGGAGGGGTACAGATTCTCAGATCTGGGCATGTTTGGAGCTGGGAACAGGGGCCCACAGATCCCAGGGCCTGGGTGTAAGGATAGGTCCCGTGCACACTGCAGGGCCCTTCCCTGTCCCCTTCCACCAGCAGTCTGTGCTGCCATGAGGCCTGGGGTGACTTACCACAGATGGAGGCGTGGTCAGGGCCATCTTCCCAGCCAGGTGGGCCTGCATAGCACCCAGCTTCTCCTTCTCCAGCACCAGCTGTGAGGACAGGCACACAGTGAAACCTCAACCTGCCCTCTTTCCACCATGTTTTTGCTCAGGCTATGTTCTTCTCTGGGAGTGCCCTTCCCCCTTCCTTCCTTTATGTTAGTCTCCATCCTGGGTGAACTCAGCTTCTGGCACAGGGTGGACATAAGGTTTGCCCACCATCCCCCCACCGTCACCCCCAGCCCCACGTCACCTGCTGCTCCAGAGATTGCACCACCTCCCTCTGGAGGAGACACTGTGCCCTGCCCTTCTCATCCAGGAGATGGTCTGCCTGGCAGTGCCTGGGGAGGGGGAAGAGTCCATGCAGGTGACCATGGCAGACCTGGCCTCGTGGCTCAATGTTCTCAATGGGGAGGGCTCAGCCTCTAACCCCTCTACCTCAGTCTCCCTCTCACACCATTCCTTCAACACATGCTACTTGGTATCTCCTTTGTGCCAGGCCTGAGCTGGTTACTTGAGCCTGGCCAGGGTGTTGGAGATGACTTAGAAGGAGGTAAGCTGGAAGCAGCCAGGTAGGTGAGAGCAGGAAAGGCATTCAGATGGAGGGAAGGCCTGGTGGTGAAGAGGGTAGGATACATTGAGTTGCCAGTGATAGTTGGGTAGGGTTGGAGAAAGTGTGTGACTGTGTGTGTGTGTGTGTGTAGTATCTGGGGGTATCTTGTATCTGGTTGTGATGAGGCTAAGAAGAGGCAGCAAAAGCCATTTTGAGGAGCTGGGACTTTGGGGATCAATAAAATCAGCCTGGTGTGTTGGCATGACAGGTAGAAGGGCAAAGCAGGTAGGAGTGTGGATTCTGAAGCCTGGCTGCCTGGGTTCAAATCCCAGTTCTGTCACTCAGGAACTTGGTAATCTTGATCAACACACTGAACCTCTTTGGCCTGTTTCTTAGTCTGTAATATAATAGTACAGGTAAATAATAGTATACATTATTATGTCCCATATACAGATGAGAAAACCAAGGCCCAGGGAAGCTAAGCAACTTGCCCAAGATCTTAGAGCCAGTGATGGACAGAGCCTGGATTTGAATTCTCAGTCTCAGCTTTTGCCTCTTTTTTTTTTTAATATCCACCGAGGCAAACCAGTCAGGGCCCGAGGATATATTTTCCATAGACTTTTAGAGAGAGTGGAAGGGAGGGAGTTTGTGTGTGAGAGAGAGACATCGATGTGAAAGACACATGGATATCCTGCACATGCAGGAGATTGTAGGTATGTACTGGTACTGGGATTGTAGGTACATACCCTTGACCAGGAATTGAACCCACAACCCTTTGGTGTGCAGGCCGATGTTCCAACCACTTAGCACAGCAGCCAGGGCTCAGCTTTTGCCTCTTTTATCAAATTACTACCTACCGGGGTGAGGCCTGAGCTGAGACCTGCACCCAAGACCTCCTCCCACAAACTGGGGACCGCTCTGGACTGGAATAGGCCTGGGCCACTCACTTGAGGAAGTCCTCCGGCTCCTCAAAGACCTTCTCACATCCGGGCCACTTGCAGACACCATTTGCCAGCAGTGAGTAGGAGCCTTGGGGCACGGTCGAAAGGGTGCTGGGGGGACAGAAGGTGTCAGGGGAGGGAATAGTCCTCCCAGGCAAGGGCCCTTCCCAGCTTTTCCCACTGACCTGTCTTTCTTGGGTGCACCAGGGCTTGGGAAGGTGCAGAGCAATGTTGGTTCCCTGGACACCCACTCCAGGCTGGCCATGTTGATCCCTGTAGGTAGGGACAGGGCACCTTTGGAGACAGAGACTATGGACTGGGCTCTGGAGCTTGGCCCACAAGGCCTCTCCTTTTGAGCTTCCTACCCTCCTGAGCCTCTGGTGTCCCTAACGCCCAAGGTTTTTGGTGGAACAGCTCAAAGACTGCCATTCACAAGTGCTGACATTTTGATGAACTCTGCAAAGATCTGGTTCCGTGATTTTGATGTTCTGTACTCTTCAGGTTCTGAGCCTGACATTTTTCGGAGGTTGGAGTTTCCGAGATGATAAAAGCTGACACCTAACACTTGAGGGCCACAATTCAGCAGCCTACACTGCTCATAGTCAAGGACTTGGGGGGGCTCTGGGATTCTATGGGGCTGTGGGGTGTGGTATTACCAGGTGGCAGGCCAGGCCGGGCCTTGAGAGAGAAGACCCCAGTGGCAGCAGTGGGTGGCGGGAGGCTGATCATAGCTGGTCTTTCCAGTGGGTGCACCTGCAGCATGGGGGTCCGGGCATGGGCATCCACTGTTGAGAGCTGGGGGCACATATGGACTATGGTTCCACCTGGCCTCCTCCCAATTCCCCCACCTACTCCCTCCTCCCTGCCCAGTCACGGGCCATACCTGGTGCATGAAGTGTGGCCTGTCTTGGAGGAGTGCCTGCAAGTGGGGCGAAGGACCCAGCCGTGTTCCAGAAGGTGCCACCATGACTAGGGGCACTGTGGGCAGCTGGGGGGAGAAAGCAGGCAGGAGAGATGCTGTCCTCATCCTCACTGTTCTAAATGTTGAATTCATATGCTCCTCACCACAACCTCACGTGGTAGGTGCTAGGACCATCCCCTTTATACATATGTAAAAACTCAACCTCAGGGAGATTGAGTGACTTTCACAAGATCAACCAACTAATAAGTGGCAGAACTGGCCTCAACTCTGTCATCTCACGTCCTAGGGCCCCATCCTCTTTTCTGTCACATGGGGATGGGGACACATGGCCATACCTGTGGGACCATGATAAAGTCTTCTTTCCTGAGAGGGATTGGGAGCTTGGGGAGAGCCTCGGATCTCTGAGACCTGCTAAGTGGGGACTTTCTTAGCCCCGTGACATCTGCATAAGTCACAGACTTGCCTGGGACCCAGAAAACCACTTCCTGTTCCCCAGCCGGGCCCCCCGCCCGGTGCCACAGTAAAGGTCGGCACCTATAGGCCCAGGTACTCCACCCTGCTTGCTCCATCCTGGGCCCCGGGCCTCACCTGCAGCTGTGATGGTGGCATGGGGTTCAAGGAGGAGGAGGAGGCATGGGCCCCACCTCGGAGGTCCCGGCCCTGGAAGGTTGCCCCCGGGCCCTTGGCCCCCAGCAGGTCTGAGGCCTTGGGTGCAGCCCTCCAGCTGGACGAGACTCCTGGGGATGGGCTGAGCACCAAGGAAGGGGCCAAGGGCTTGGCAGGCCTGGGGTTGGGCATTGGGTCCTTGTCCAAGGTCAGGCTGTAGAGACATAGGGGAAGGAGTTATACATGTGTTGGCGGTGTGCAAAATACTCAACCACCTGAACCATGTGGACACCCCCTCTAGTCAGAGCAGTCATTGGCTGGGACATGTCCCAAAGTATCCCACAATTAGACCCCAGCTCTAATCATGGGTGTATGCAAATATACACACACATTGGTGTCAGGAACATGGGAGTGTGTGTGTGTGTGTGTGTGTGTGTGTGTCCACACACATGTCCCATGTGCAGACTTGCACCATTCAGCATGTGGCTTGCCTACACATACTGGCACAGCCCTGGTGGGGATGTGTTCTCCAGAGGGCAGCTGGGGGTTCATGGTGGTTTGTGGGGCCTTAGCCAGAGTTGTTTCATGCATGTGAGTGTGTGTGTGTGTGTGTGTGTGTGTGTGTCCACACACATGTCCCATGTGCAGACTTGCACCATTCAGCATGTGGCTTGCCTACACATACTGGCACAGCCCTGGTGGGGATGTGTTCTCCAGAGGGCAGCTGGGGGTTCATGGTGGTTTGTGGGGCCTTAGCCAGAGTAGGTCTCAGCTCCTTCCCCCACCACTTGAGGCCTTGAATTGAGGCCTCAGCCCTCCAGTCCTCCCTGAACCTGGCATCGGTCACACAACTTTTGCTGATCCCACTGGGGCTGGTCTCTGATTTTCTTCTGGGAACATAATTTTACCCCAGTGACTTGGGCATATCTGGGAGTGGCAGGGGACGTGGACTCAAAAGATCCTGCTGGTTGCTGTGAAGGGACAGACTCTAAGAAGGTGAGGGCAGAAATAGAGGACTAGTGAGGAAGCTACTGCAACAGTCCCAGTAAGTGACGATGGTAGCACAGACCAGGATGGTGACAGTGGAGATGGTGAGAAGTGGGTGGATTCTGAGCATGTTTGGAAGGTGGAGTCAGAAAACTTTCTGGTAGCTTGGATCAGGGGCTGAGAGAGAGAGAGTCAAAGTGACAGAGCAGATGTAGGGACAGAGCTGATGTGACCTGGGATGAGGGAGATGGGGGAAACAAAGTAGGGGGGGTGATGATCCAGGTGTGGATGAACATGAAGAGTCTGGCATTAGACATACTAGTGGAAATGCTGAATGGACGGCTGAGTACAGGAGTCTGGTCATCTCAGGGCTCTACCCTGCACAGAACTGACATGGCAGGTGCCAGACGAGGAGAGACAGGCTCTCTTGAGCCGGGGCCTGTGGGAGCTCCTCAATTCAGTCCCTATCAGAATCTACCCCGAGCCTGCCCCAAAGCCTTTGTGCTCATGCCGTTTGGCTTGCCGGAAATGCCCACTCTTCCTCCTCTACCCCTGTCCAAGGCCACTCCAGAAAGCCCTTCATAGTGGCTCTAGAACCCTATACTTCCCAACAGGCAGGGCTTTGGTTTCCCAGAATCCTGTAATCCCAGTCCTAGAGGAAGTCAGAGCTAGAAGGGACTGCCCAGTCCAACATCCATGTTACTGAACAGGACACCCAGGTGCAGCATTCCACAGTTCCATGGTGACGTGGGAGCTCCACTGCTTTCTCCAGAAAGGTTGTGTGTGTGTGTGTCCACATTTCACAGGCCCGCTGCTGTGGGGCTGTGTGTCTCCCGCATCACCCAACAGTACAGGGTGGGGCAAACAGCTGCCGAGAACAGCTTGCACCTTCCTTTCTTTGCTGTCAGCCATGGGGGTTGTCAGAGCTGTGCTGCTGAGGGAGGTGGGGTGAAAATTCAGATCCTCAACTCTTAGTCTCCCCTCGGGGTTAGAACATTACTGTGTGAGAAACAGGAGCCTGGGCCTCTGAAGGCTCAGGATAAGAGCCTGAGAGAACATCAGTGACAACGAGGAGGTACGTGAAGGAATGAGCGGAAGAATGAAGGTGGAAATCAGGGTGATGCTTCTACAAGCCAAGGAATGCCAAAAATTACCAGGAAACCATGAGAAGCTAGGAGGGAGGCCTGGACACTTTCTCCCTCACTGCTGTAGAAGGAGCCAATTTTGCCATCACCTTGATCTAGGACTTCAGGCCTCCAGTACCAAGACAATACATTTCTGTTAAGTCACCCTGTTTGTGGTACTTTGTTACAGAAGTGGAGAAAACTAGTGAGTGGATGTTTTCCATTACCCTGGTGTGGTCCACACAGCTTCCTGCGGTCACTTCTGAAGCTGCCTGGACAGTTGGCCAGAGCTTATAAGAAATCTCCTCCCCAAACACATGTGGAATGGCCTGACTCAGGAAAGCAGAGATACATTCTGAGAAAGGGGACATGGGTATGGTCTGTCTGGTAGTGGGGTATGGGAGGGCTGGGCTGGGCAGCCAGCTTCCTGCACTGTCTGGTGGGGCATCTCTTTCTGACTATTTCTCAGAAGACACATGGAGGATGTTTCTGGGACATAGATTGTGTTTTCATATCGGGGTCTGCATCTGGGCCCTGTTGTCAGAGCCTCCAACTTCCCCAGATTTTTCCGCCATTGACGTCACAGCGGCCGGATGCGCTGGGCTTCATCGGCACGGAGGAGGAAGACAAAGGGGCAGACACCCAACCCCACAGGTTTCGTTCCGAGAATTGGCTGGCCCATCCTTCAGCTGGTGTGGCCCAGGTGGGGTGATGAGGGTGCTGGCGGATGTGGTGAGTGACGTCCATCTGGCCACCATGACAAGCCCCAGGCCCTGTAGACCTGGCCCTTCTCAGGCAAGAATAGGCCCAAGATTTGAGGCTTGAGGAGTGCCATGCAGATCCTACAGATACTGGGACCCTCAGGGTCTTCAAATGGTATTACACCAGAACCCCAGAGTCATGGGACATCATTGCTTAGATTGAAAGGATCCCAGAATCTCAAACACACAGACTCTATGGGGTCCATGGGTCCAACTTCTTAGTATGTGAACCAATGTTCCTGGTATCCAAACATACTGAAACTCCCAAAAGGACAGAAAGCTCACTACTTCATTGGGTCTTTCACCTACCAGGCCTGGAATTGCAATAACAACCCCCCCTCCCCCAGTCTCCATCCCAAGTTCTGTGAAGGCAGGAGAGTCAAGATTACCCCCTCTCCTTTCTCCAGCCTGGAGCCAGGCTCTGCTACTAACTAGCTACAATTCTCCTCAGGCTCCTATGTAAATTGGGACAATAACAATCCCCATCTTCCATGAAAAGCTTGGCAAAATGTCAGTGATCGATGAATGGACACTGCAGGACCTCAAACTCCCTGTCCATTCTGGGACAATGTTCCAGACTCACAGTCACTCTGCTGGAGATGGGGAAGGAAGACAGGGGAGGTTGAGGCTGGTGCACCTTTGGTGAGGGCCTTGTCGCAGGAAGCAGGAAAAGCCCTGGCCTTTGCTAGTAGAGATCCCACCACCAGGCTCTCTGGAAAGGTGCTGGGAACCGGTGCCAACTCTGGGGACATGGCTGAGCTCTGTCCATAGTCAGACCCACTGACTGATGTCCTCCTAGTAACACCACCCTCTGCCCACGAGGCCTCCTTTCCCATGAGGCCCCGGGACCCACCCAGCTAGCTCTTGGGAGGCTAAGCCCCACACTGTGACCATGGATCCTCCTGCCTTAGTGAGGGTCCCACCTGTGAGAAGACAGAACGAGTAATGGCAGCAGATGGGGGACAACCCATGTCCCCTTGCCCCCTCATGGGTGCTGAGAGGTAAACTGAGGCTCAGAGTAGGGGAGAGAGACAGAGCAACGCTTCCACTGAGAGTCTTAAGAGCTGAGATAGGGTCTCAAATCTGCCAATGTTTTTCTGTGAGGACTTGGGAGAGGCCCTCTCACCCATTTCTGGGCTTCAATTTGCTCCTCTTATACACTGGGAAGGGGAGAGGTGTGGAATAGGTGAGGGCCAGGGCCCTTCCACTCTGTGTCAGGGTGAGTTGTTAGGTGTAGAGCTTCAAGTTGACAACTCCTCTATCCAGGGGACTGAGAGACAGGGATATATAGAGACTCATAGAGACAAAGAGAGATACAAACAAAGAGACAGACATAGGGGAAGAGAGAGACACAGAACAAGAGATATGAAGAGAGATGGAGAGACCTGAGGTGGGACAGAGATAGAGTGAGAGACAAAGAACAATAGAGACAGTGAGAGATTCTGAGAGGAGAAACATATAT